AGGAGTGAGAACGACTGACCATAACCGCTCAATCTGCAGACTGAGACCGGTGCAAATGAGCAAATGCTTAATGACATTGAATAATATCATTTTATTAAAAAAAATCTCATGCAGAAACAGTTCTGTGCGTACAATACATCAGACCAGAACGAATTCAAGAATTAAAAACCCTCTGAAATCAAAATGTAAGTTTTTTAGCTTTTAGTATGAATGTTACCCTTATGAATAATCAGAGGTGTTCCAGAACAACGACAAAATTCGCATTTAGGAGTAAAAGTCTCTCACTTCCGCTAAAATGGATCACGGATTTTATGACATTACTGCGGACTTCAGCTTCTCATCATATCTTCTGTCCAATCAAGTGCTCTCTAGAATCTAAAGTGTCCCGCCCCCTATGCTATAAACATCACCTGGCCAAAGCGACCGTTGGTCAACGTCACTGAGCAATATGGGCAGCAGATGTTTGTTCGGTTGCTCAAATGCTCAAGTTTTATTCTGTTTTCTAATGTACGTTGGTTAAGAATGAAATGGTTAGAATTTATTCACAGCATTACTATTGAATCTAACATATCATTAGCGCTCGGATTCGCTTCAACTGTGCTTTCAAGTACGACTTGCAGTCTATGAGGTAAACTGAACGCCATCGGCAATTTGAAAAGGGTGTGGACCCATTCAATATGTCCCGCCTTAGCTTCCTGTTTCAGTGGAAATTACATCAACGCATCATACAAAGTTGAAGCCGGAAGTTGAAGCCTCGCGGGAGCTGCCATTGTAGCAGAACTTCACCTGCTGTTAGCATTCCATTGACTCCCTTTCATTTTGGCGTCACTTTGACAGCGAATAACTTTACATCTGAGGCATCCAACACTATCTCACGACCAATTCGTACGAATTCGACGCATGATTAAAAAGTGGCTAATTCGTACTAATTCGTACGACCTCACTCGTACTAATTCGTACGATTTGTCTAAACCCACGTGATGGTTAGGTTTAGGGGCGGGGTAAGGGGTAGGTCATTCGTACGAATTCATACGAATTGGCCAATTCGTAATATATGTACGATTTAGCAAAATCGTATTAATTCGTACGAGTGGGGTCGTATGAATTGTTACGAATTAGCCACTTTTTAATCATTCGTCGAATTCGTACGACTTGGTCGTGAGATCGGGTTGGAGGCATCTCATTAGCCAATTATTTATTTCCAAACAAACACAACGACAATAGCCGCTTTCCGACTGGAGGGACTTTTGCAGTTCTTAGAACCTAACGTTCCTATAACCCTTTTTTCTCGTGTTCTGACCGGACTAAATTGGGGATTTTTTTAGTTCCTCAGACCATAGTTCCTATAACTTTTTCAGTGCCTAGTCTAGAGCGAGGACTTTTTTAGTTCCCTTTCCCTAGGTCTACATTGATTGGTTCAACTTATACGTCATGCTCACTGTCAACACGGAACTTGTAGCGCGCTGTCTGCCATAGGCTGTGTGTTTTTGCAAAACATTACAACGAGGATTAAGACAAACATACTATCATACTTAATATCATATTACGCTGGAGCCTTCGTCTTCTGTGTTTCTCTGTACAGAACTCAAACGCCGTACAGAATCTTTAAACGCCACCATTCGTTCTCCGTTATTAAGGTCCCGGCAAGGCAGAACAGGAACCAGGAACATTGCAATAGCCTCCTCCATGCTGGTTTGTTGTAAGACCGTCGGCGTGCTTGCGTCCTACCAGTTCCTATGGCCACTTGGCCAGTGCGAACGCAAGCAGCAAAACAGAGTTTGGGGGAGAGTAGTTCTTAGAACTGTTTAGAAGTGGACAGTTCCTATAACTAAGTTCCTGTAACTACTTGGTCGGAAAGCGGCTCATGTATAAAAGGCTCCATTACCTTGTATTTTACGTAATGGCGCCACAGAAGCAATTTTTGTAAAAATAGGCTAACAATTGCGTCATAATGAATCGACTCTCTGTCGCACAGTAGAGAGATTACCATAAAGACAGGAGGAAAAGCTTGTAGGCCATCGGGGGGTCTGATAAAGTCTGATAAAGTCGAGGGAGAAGCCCATAGAGAGTCATAAAGTTAATCCTGCTGTTAGCTCATGGACAGCTAATACTCACTGTAATAATTCCCTTCTGAATCTCTGTGAGATTCAGAAGGGAATTTTTCAGATTTCATTCGGCACAGCTACTAGAAAACGTACAGGTTGCTCACGCGAAAGGCTCAGTTTGAGCTTGCGCAGTACGCCTGGCAATCAGCTTTTAAAGGGCTTCAATGGTCCCCGTTGAAATCAATGGTGTCGCTGTGTCCATTTCTTTTACTGTCTATGGTTCCAATGCACTTGGGCCTTTAATACCCTAGTTCAATGCACCGATGAAGAAATCAACTAGCAAGTCACGACTGTTTCCCTAAATCTTATACAGTCACAAATTTGTCGTTCAGCCACATTGATTAATGATGTCATGCGATGATATAGAGTAATCACTGCTTTTGAAGAAACCGTATGAGATCAAATCAATGCTAGATTTTTTTTGCTATAAATTTCGGAAATGGCATCTGAGGACTAATTCTCTTTTTTCTCAGTTATTTTGCTTTATTTCCAGATTCAATCATAGGCTCATTCTTACATAGAGCGCATACCCACATCCTTCGTTTAAAAACGGTGCTTTAAAGTCCACCTGTGGTGAAAGTCAAGTTTATAATGTTGTTTATATGTCCATGTGGTGTTTTTAATGTGCTTTAAGACAAATCATGTGCAAATTCATGTCAACACCATTGTTGAGTATTTTCTCCTTAAAACTGCAGTCTCAAAAACGCGGTTTGAAATCGCTGGTGTTTCTGACGTCACAAACTACATTGTAACCAATCAGGTCAATGTGTGAGCGTCAACGAGTGGGTCACCGAGCTGGTGCGGGTGAGTGGAGGTGGGGCTAATTTGCATATTGCAAATTTTTGAAAACAGTCTCCGTGTAAACAACAAGAACAAGAATCTCTGAATATGATGATGTCATGCACGTGTGTATTACGTGTTCATTCAATAATGTTTCATCGCCATAATGGCCTGGAGGCAGAATACAGGGTTTTTAGTCGTTTTTGCGGATCCGTGTGATCGTTTTGACAATGGGTTCGTCTGTACGTGGAAAACTCAAAGAAAAAAATGTCTCAGTTTTTAGTACAGTATATCGTGGTCGTGTAACCGTACCCCTTCAGTCTAGAACTACAGTTACCATCATGTTCACAAAGAGCACAAAAGACGCCTTTGCACTTATACTCACAATAACTGTCAACATGGGGACTGGTGGTGTCAGTCAATACACAGGAAAACAGTAACTTGCGTTACTTGTTTGAAAAAGTAACTCAGATATTTTGTTGTAAATGTAAAAGTAATGGATTAATTTACTCGTTACTTGAAAAGTAATCTGATTACTTAACTCACATTACTTGTGTTACCCCTAACACACTGGTAAAAACTTGTTACATTGTACGCAGTGTACTGTGCTTTCTTAATAATGTGTTAATTATTCCTACTAGATGTTTGAAGACACATTTTAGTTAACAACGAAATTTCAGTTACTTTTTAACCCAAAAACGCCTGAACGTTCCTGAATTAGCTTCTTGAATACAAAGGAATTGAGGGCAAATGTAAACGCTTATATTCTATTGCACATTAAACACTTAAAGATCTTGATCAAGAAATGAGTTGTAGGCGTACAAAAATACATTATTTTCACTGGAAAAATAATGTCTAAATGTATAATCGTTTGATTTCTTTTCTCTTTTTTTGTCACATAATGCTCACTGATGTGGATTTACTGAAGCCATTAGAAATTCATGAACAAATCATGAGGAAGACTGGGCGTTTGCAGTTATTGAGGATTTCTATGCCCTGACCTTATTTGCTAGGGAGGAGAAATATTTGATTATGTGTCAGCTCATTAATTTGAAGCTGACTTACAGTGTAGACTGCATGACTGCGAGTGAATATTTTGTTGTGTTTCTCACTTCTGATTAAGCTTTGACTGCTACACCGAACAAGAGACAATCAATCATAATGAATGCTTCCAATGAGACAGTGATGGAAGTAACAGGGCACTACCGCACTCAAAAAATAAATAAATAAATAAATTTAAAAAAAAAAATTTTTTTTTAAAAATAGGGCACAATGAACTCTATCAATCTGAAGGATTTTTTCTGTATTTATTTTTTTTTACCCGGTAATGAGCTGCCAGTACCTTTTCTGTTATGGATTTATTTGTGTACAATGTGGTCCAAGCAAGAAAGTGATATCCTATAAATTCCTATCTATCGAAACATCAAAGGAGAATAAATCAAATGCAGTTAAATAACAGAATTACTTCAGTAATATAGTCTATTTGACAATTATGGGCCAATTAAGTTGCTTTGCTTTGATTGTTTTGTTTTAGAAAGAAATAAGCCATTAGGTACTGTAATGCAAAATTATTGAATGAATGAGTGAAAAACTTAAAAATGTCTATGTTGTACTGTCTTTAATTCATGCTAATTTAAATAAAAATAAAATAAAAAAAAATGTATAGAGAATCAGTAACAATAGTTAAAAAATGCATAAAAATACAATTATAGCCTAATGACGATATAAATATGAAATGTTGCCTATATTTTAGTGAGGTTTGACTTCACAAAGCATTTATAGAGGAGTTCAATATGTCAAACTTGATACTTGATTAAGTAGCCTATTACATAAAAATGAAGAATATTTTGTTAATATCTATTTATTTTGAATTGTAAATACTCTGTAAGTTTGTAATAAATAAAATTAGGCTATATTTAGAAAGTACATGTGTGGAAGACTGTAAATGGTTTCCAATGTCATGAGATTAACATCTTCTTATCACACAGCACAGTATGAAGTCCACTGATGAAGTGTACAGTAGTGAAGGCGACTTCCTCTTCCTCCAGCAGCATCAGCAGCACATCTTGAGTGTTGATGTTATTCATGGGAGGTGGCATTCTGCTCAATAAGGCGTTTCCGCGCTCAAGTGGGCTGGGACTCGAACGTTTCCACTAAGGAGTGTGTGTAATAACCCGAGGGGAAAAAGAGGAAGACCATACTTGCTCTACGAACCCTCTACCTCGAAGCTAACATGTAATATGAACGTCAGAAACTCGGATGCGCGGTCTCGTGAAAGGTCCTGTAAGAGGAACCCTCACGTGGACGGAGCCGGAGCATGAAATCAACATCTCGAGACTCAGGGATTGCTCCGCTCATCTTTCTCATCCACATTGACAATTTACAGTAGTGGGTACCAACACACACGGCGGGTGCAGCACTTGGACTGAATATGTACCAGGGACATTCACAGGTAAGCTGGCATGCTTCTTTTATCTATTATTGGCCAACAGCGCGTGAAGCATCTCATGCCAGCACGTGCGCATGTAAAATAATCAATCATCCCCAAATTGAGGAGTTAACACTATTCTCACCGGTCAAATCGCACTCTTTCAGCTCTATTTTAGCATTAGAGCAATGGGCAAACATATTTTACACGGCATAAGCTTTAATTTCATGAGGAGGACGTTAACTCTGAAGAAAAGATCCTTTCAAGGCATTATCTTGTCCCATTGAAACGTTTAATCTTCTGGTTTTATTTGCGTCATGCATTGAATAAAACACCTTTGTTTTAAAGGGCCTCAAAAAAGTCCCTATTAAGTTTTTTTTATTAAGATAGCTTTTAAAATGCTTTTTAATATACTTTCTTTTACTATAGTATTATAATTATTATATAGTATGTTTTTCCCTCAATATCCATTTTGTAAATACAAAGATGTACTCATATAAATGTTGCACATTTTTTCGAAGAACTTTAAGCAGGTTTAAATGCATGTATTTCCTTTTTCCTTAAAAAAACAAGACATTTCATCAATAATAAATGGATTAAACAGCATTGATGTCATTAACCCTTCATGGCTGCAGGCTCAACATCCATTTTTTTGGACTTGGAAGGAATTTGACCTTCATAGAGTCAGATGAACTTAGATATTGCCTGCTGCCGTTCACATGACCGATGATGCTGCGCTTGCACTTCAGGGAACTGCCATCAAGTGTGGTTTGCTTCCGAGTCCTCAAGATAAATATGTCTCCCGTCACACCAAGCTGTAGCTAAATCTGAGTAGGATGGGTTTAGACCCGTGTCACATTTCTCACGATCAGACAAAGGAAAATCAGTGTTTGCGATTTACAATTGTGTGGTTGCAAGTAATTTGCTGCTTCACAATTTGTGGCTGCTTCTTTTCCTCATCAGTTTCTGTCTGATATTGTAGATGCACAGGAGGAGGAGGAACAGAGTGATGTTTTAAAACATCTTTTAAACATCAAGTTGAGTATTAAGGCTCGAATGGTGCTGTAGTTTATGGATGTTATGCAATCTTCCCACTGATCTGCCACTCACTGAACTGGATTCTTTAAATCTGCATACGACTCTGAGAGTGTGTAATATATGCTTAGTTTACTGCATTTGGTTCTCACTGATGAAAGGAAGAACTTAAAATGTTCCTAAATTCCCAGAAGCAAGAGAATAACGTTTGAGAGTGTGCCTTTATGCCTACATAAACCTTTGGTACAGCTATTCCCATGGCTTTGCCTTCTGAAGGAACATTAGTTCAGCCGATACTAAAAAAGAGAAGGGTGAGAAAGCCCTTTGATGTGTTTATCATAAAAATTCACCTCCACTAAACCGTTATGTTGAGGATTTTGTTTGTGGAATACTGCTGTTGTCCCATTTAGGTTAGCAGGCTGTGAGGGATGTGTGATAATTAATTTTTTGAGAGGAGTAGACATCAAGTAAAATATTTTTTTCTTATTTTTACATATTCAATATATGAAGAGTTCCAAGATGCAAAAGCCTCTAAATGTCATTTGAAATGTTCTTCTTTAATGATGATTTTTATCAAACTTGTATATTTAAGTTCAGTAATTTCACTTAAATGGCAATGATAATTACCTATTAATTGTTATTTAAGTGAAATTAATGAAATAAAATTTCATTAAATTTCAAAAAAGTTTGATAAAAATCATCATTAAAGAAGACAATTTCAAATGGCATTTAGAGGCTTTTGCATCTGAACTCTTCATATTGAGCTAGGACTGGGCGGTATGGTACATAGTGAGACCACGGTATAAAGTGTCTATTGTTAGAGATTGTTAGAAAGTTATTTACACGTAAGAGTGATAAAACATGCATTGATAAGAAAATAAAGAATGAAGAAGAACTCGATGTAGTTGGTGCTCACGCTGAAGGACACAGCTGAAGCGTGCGCAGTGCGCGCAGAAAGCCGCCTATCTTAAAGAGCATGCAATAACAAATTCGGAATGTGTATGACGTTTAATAAAGTTATTAAATGCAATCCACAAGTTTCCGAGGGGCGCTCCTGTAAAAAATAAAGTGGGTGAAACTTCCGGTGAGGCGGCGGAAGTAGCATTCCAATGGTATTTTGTGTGTTAGTTAGCGAAGAGGCTAGCTGTTTTTCTGAGAATTATTTTACTATTTAAAGACGCAAATCTTTATGAGAGATGTCGTTACGGAGTCTTAATATTCTATAAACTCTATCAGTATGTGATTGGCTGTTCGCTACTGATGTTACACCTAAACTCAGGATCAAAGCCTGTGTTGACAGAATACCAAATGTGCCAGTTAATGTATTCAAGTAGCACATTCATTTATAATTTTGAATAAACTCCAAAGCACAATGACTAAGTGTGTATTTTTTATTTTAATTGTTTGTCAGCTCACACAACTGTCTGTCACCATGCCTTGATGAGTATTGATTATTAATAATGTTAATAATACTCCCAATCAACTACTGCGGAGGGTAAAGGTACTGTTATTTCACCCTTTTGAATTTCGTTGAGGTTGTGTTCCCACATCGTTAGCTAGTTTGGATTGCCATAACTTGAAAGACTGTCAACTGTTGAATGAACGAGTGTGAAGTATGTCAAATCGCGCTTTGTTTACTTTCAACCGGAAGTCGCACCCACTTTTGACGCAAGGCCTCATGGGGCGTAGGAAACTTGTGGATAAGCTGTGAAAAAGAGAAGTCAGCTGACAGGCTTTCTGTGAGAAGCGCTTAGAAAGCTGCTTCTCTCAAATAGGTCGCAAATTCAGTTCTCTTTCACCTCTTATTGCGCTTGAATGGTCAGATAGATACACAATAATGTCAAAATGCACATCGTGTGGAGTAATCACGTAAACATAGTTGGTTACGTTTTAAATTAAGGTGAACATTTGGGTGAAAATTGGATGTGTGTCAGTAAATTGGATTTGTGCATTCGGTCAAGGGACAGGAGCGTGATAAACTGTTGTCCGTCTCATTCATTTTACTCAAACAACAAAAGACAGAGAAAATCACTCACTTCTCTTGACTGAATCACTGTTGTATCTTTAATTTGAATCAGTTCTTTTGATTCATATACAGTGAAGACTATGCAGTGTTTTAGCTCTGTAACAGACGTGCTACTGTATCTATTCTACTTCACTTGTTTTGCTTTATTTGATGTTTGGTTCCCTTCCTACGTCATACTCTGGGGTTCCCTTTATGCATTTATGCACATGTGCACTCTTCATAAAGGACACTGATTTATGCTAAAATACCAGGCTTGTGCAAAATTCAGAATTTCAGAATTGGCCTCCATTCAATTCATGAATTGGAATTTGAATTGAATTGACTCCGCCCCCCAGGAAGTGGAATTAAATTCATGGCAATTCAAAAAAATTCCATACAGTCACAACAGTAAGAATGTGTTGAATCTCACATAGGGGAGAGCGGGGCACAACGTAACGCTTTTTGACTTTCTCAGTTTGTGCAAATCTATTTAGAGTGTTTATTTTGTCCCACATTAAATTCCTTCATGTGTAGTACAATTATGTGGTTTTGTTTTATTAATACAGTGTACACTTTTTTCTTAATTTACCCTGAAAGAAATGTTAAATGTGACAACATGCCCTATAGGTGGGGTGCATTGTAACATGTGAGGGGCACATTGGAATATCACCATATGACAGCTTAAAATGCTATCTCATCTAATAAAAAAATATATATACAAGTCAAACCAAAATATTTTCTTAGTAAAATACAGTTATTAACTTTTTCATATAAAATAATGTCATTTTTTAAATAATTCAAAATAATCTAATTTTTGATTTTGACAACAAACACATGAATACACAGCTATACAGCATAGTTAAAAAAAAATAATTAATAATTTCTGAACATTGACTTTCAGTTTTTATTTACATGTTTCTCATGTTTTCTCAATCGAATTCATAGAAGTACAGAATATAATAGCATATTTCTAATAGGGGCACAATGTAACGCAGTGTGACAACATGCCCCAACTGCACAACTGGGGTTTAAACCCTGCTAGTGTCTTCTGCTGGTTAGCGAAGCATTAAAGAACTATATCAACTGTTAAACAACAGATTAGAGATTAAAAAAATATCAGATTTGTGTAATTTTAATTAAACACAAAAATAGAGATGAAAAATTAATTTAGGTAAGATATGTACTTTTGCTATGGTTAAATGTTCAGTGATATCTTACAAAGCTCTCTGAATTTTGGCGTATTTTTTTCTCTATATAGTTTTGAAATGGCAACTAGTAAATACATCAAGTTTCGTCATGCTACTAGCGTGTGGAAGTATTTAAAACAAGGGTGTTACAACTAGCCCCGCGCTCCCCTACAGTCAGGGTTAGGAAGGTTACTTTGGAAATGTAATTGCTCACTGTTATAAGTTACCCATTAAAAATGTGGTTTAGATGAATTTATCTGGAATACTTTATCAATGTAAAGCAATTTCATTTTAATTCTGGGAAAGGGCGTCACAATTACAATAAATCAAACTTATTATTTGTTCTGTGACTAGAGCTTTTAACATTCATTGCTGGGGGGAAAACATTGCTGGTAGTTCAAACTAATATAATTTATATAATATGTAATGCAATCATATCTGACATATATTGTAAAGCTACATTGTTAAACACTTCACTTAAAATATCTAAATTCATTTCTTAGAATTTTTATTGAATTGTGTAATTCTGCATCCTTTAATTCAAATTCGAATTGGCCTTATGCACAGCTGCACTACTTCCTGAACTTAAGCCAGCTCCTTGTTTCCTGTCTGCCATTATTGGTCAAATTGATTAATTCAGGTGTGCCTGACCTCAGTAGTCACGGCAACAATAATCAGACACACCTGAATTAATCAAGTTATTATCAGACGGTCCAAGGTCCAAAAGACAGTTAATAACAGTTTCAGATGCAGCTTCAAATGTCTTTAAATGACACCAGACGATGAATAAGGGTCTT